CAGCCTCCCAAAGGCGCGGGATTACAGGCTGAACCACCGAGCCCGGCCTTTCTTTATTTTTTAAAGAAGGATACTTGTAATTATAGCAAAGAAAGAAAATTCAGAGAGACTTTCAAAGGATAAGCTAAATAATAAATGGTTGATTTTTTTTCAAAGTGGGGAGAGAATTGAATAAGAAGTTGGGTTTGATTTAGGCTCTTTGGTATACAAATTCAATAAAGACTTAAACACTAGGAACCTCAAGTTCATCATCTGTAAAATTGTAAAGATATTTTCTATCATAGATGGTCATCAATCTAGCTCATAATAGACCTAAATAACGATGACTGTCCCTGAGTAAATAAGAACTCAAATGTACCCCCTTTGTGTAATACACACACTGGTCTACAACAGACAGAGGTTGTTGGATCTGCGTAAGAAAGTACATACCCTTTGTCACACTGACACAAACATTTGTGTTATCAGAACGATAACAAAGGTGAATCTTGGAATGCAAAAAGATGAAAGCAAAGGCTGACATATTCAGGCATACAGAAATGCACATGTTCTCACATCACTCCAGTTCTCAAGGCCATCAGACAAACATCCCAAACCTTTCTTCACAGCAATTGCCCCAGGAGTACCTTTTTTAACTCCTCCCTTCCTTTCTGCTAAGTGAGACACTTCTTCTCAACTCTGGCATTGGGTACACCAGCTCCTTCCACTTCCTGCTGTTCCCTGACATGTTCTGCTCTTCTACTTGTGCTCATGCTGGGTAGTAGTGAATTTCTCACTTCGTGGTCTCAATCAAGGGAGGAATGCTTGAATCAAAGAACAGGAGTTCATTAAAGGAGGTAGTTGGGTGAGAGTGAGAGAAGAGCCTTTTAGAAGAGAATAGAAGAAAAGATATATAGCACATGAGGAGGAGACACCGTGTGAAGGAAAATGTATGACCCCCTGCATCTCAACTGGTCTGTTCTTTTCTCTTCAAGGTCATCAAGCCCAGGAAAAGCAAAAAAGAATCACTCAAAGCTGATTCAAATATGGAAACTTCACTTTAGCTATCTTTTTGCGCCCTTGATATTGATGTTTATGAAGATAAGATCTAAGTGCAGAAAATAATATATATAGCATATATATAAAAATAATATATATGCATATATACATAATATATATGCATATATGTAAAAATATATATATGGTTGAAATACAACTATATCTAATCTATCATCTATCTATCTGTCTGTCTATCTAACTATACTATTAATTCTAGAGTGTTTGGTGTTAGAAGTGCTTTTTAAGAAATTGTTTTACTGTTTTATATTTTCTTAATGCCATATGTTGCATCTACAACTTTTGTAATTTGAAAGAAATTATCTTTTTTTCTAAAAGATGACTTTTCTAGGAGTTCCTAATTCATTTATAAGTTGCTTAAAAGTAAATAGTTTGCAGCCTACAAATCAGGGTGGAGCACACAGATTTATACTTTGGGTACGAGAACAGGAAACATGGTTGGAGAGTTCTTGAGGAACTGTTGGTGCTTGAGGAAATGAGTAGAACCAGATGGTTCACATCAGAGAGGGCCAAGAATTCCCCTAACATAGACAAGTGCCTTCATACACATCACCAGAAAGTGCCTCATTTGGCAGACAAATAACATAATTATACCTTCTTCAGGAGACCAGTTCAGAAAACATAACCTTTGCCTTGGGCTAGAGTAATACTTCCAAGGACACAGGACTTGACAATTTCATCCCTGTTTTCCTCCTCAACCTGGTTTATTTGGCAGGACAAGCCTAATCCTTAGAGATCACACCCAAAGTATAAATCTGTTCCTCAAGAGCTCTCCAACCATGTTTTCTGTTCTCACATTCCACTCTTTGGGTCCACCAGAGCGTTGTTCAAGGTAAACACTTACTTAGGTAAGCTGAGGAATAGTTAATTTACCTTCCAATAGAATGGCAGAAATCAGATACAAAAAAACCTGACATTTATAATGTATTTATTAATCATATATTTAATACCTGATATTTTGCGGTTATTTTGTGGCACTTCATCTTCATCTTAGCTCCAGAAGATTTATAGTTTGGCCTTTTTACTCTCCCAATATAAAGAAAATGAAGAACCAAAAGGCAAATTCACTTTCTCTCTGACACTTAGATGGTCAATTATAGTTTTTTACTTAGAATCTAGGCCTGTTATTCTGGTTTTGCTAAGTGTGCTAATATTAGGAGATGAGGGATAAGATGAAAATTAAACTATAAATAAGAAAGGATTCGCCCTACGATGAGAAAGATGAAAAAAACCTCACAATCTTCCTTACAATAACAAAACAAAGTGAAATAATATGCAAAATCTCAACCATATGAATTCATCAGAAAACTATGGAGGTTTGAAACTATTTATGCCCAAATAATCTAGAAAAAGGAGGCATTACAATTCTCTTTTTATGATTTGAGCCAAATATAATTTTCCCCTTTGCACTGCTCCTTTCTGATAATGTCCTTTACTAGAAAGGACGAAATATTCAAATGCCATGAATAAACCTTTTAGATACTCTTTGTGGTCAAATATCACATTGCTAATATCCATATGTGTGTATGCACATATGTACTTTAAGATATTTTAGTGTATATTTATAATATATATAATATGTATTATATATATTATATATATTCTTTAAGACAATTTTGGTCATTTATAGAAACCAGATTTGGAAGGAAGTTTATAAGTTACAGAATCCAATTTCCTAATGAGAAAACTGAATTTTAGAGAGATGAAGTGGTCAAAATCACAACACTCAGTTAGGAAAAAGATTTCCTCCTGAGAAGATGTCACACACTGCTAAAATATCCTCCAAGATCAAACTTGATTTGTGGACACTGAACAAATAATCACTTTATATACAAATAATATTTGTGTTCTGAGCTAGTCAAATATGTATTATTCACATTGCTTTATTTAAACTTTGTATAATTTACTATTCTTAAATATGTAGATAATAGTGATTAAGTGTTAGAGAATGATGCCATCTCACACCAGCCAGAATAGCTATTGTTAATAAGTTAAAAAAAAAAAAAACAACTCAGATATTAACAAGGTTGCAGAGAAAAGGGAATGTTTCTACACTGCTGGTGGGAAAGTAAACGAGTTCAGCTGTTGTTTAGAGATTTCTCAAAGAACCAAAAGTAGAATTGCCACTTGATCTGGCAATCTCATTACTAAGGTTATACTCCAAATTACACAAACTGTTCTCCCAAAAAGACATTTGCACTTATGTGTTTATGTCAGTGCTATTCACAATAGCAAAGACATAGAACCAACCTAGGTGTCCATCAGTGGTGGACTAGATAAAGAAAATGTGGTACATATACACCATGGAATACTATTCAACCATAAAAAGAGAACAAAATGATGTCTTTGGCAGCAACATGGATGCAGTTGGGAGGCCATTAACCTAAGTGAATTAGAATTAGAAACAGAAAACCAAATACCACATGTTTCCACCTGAGTACAGATTGACATAAAGATGGGACCAACAGACACTGAGGACTTTAAAGAGGGGAGGAGGATTTTATTATATTGAGGCTGATACGTCATTTTTCTTCTACTTCTAGTTTGTGTAGCATTTTTGGCAAGAAGTACGCTAAGTTTTGTCAAACTTTTTTTCTATGTTTACTAAAATGATAATTTTTTTTAGTCTTTCATTCTATTAGTGTTATTTTAGTTTGTTTTCATTTATTAAACCATCCTTGTGAGCCAGGGAGAAGTCCCATTTGATCATGGTATAAAATCTTTGAGTTGGAGTCTTACTCAGTCGCCCAGACTGGAGTGCAGTGGACGCTACCGGCCACCACAGCCTCGACCTGCTGGGCTCCAGTGATCCTTCCGCCTCAGCCTTCCAAGTAGCCGGAATTACAGGCATGCGCTACCACGCTCAGCTGATTTTTTTTTATTTATTGTAGAGATGAGGTCTCGCTGCCCAGGCGGGTCTCGAACCCACGGGCTCAGGCGATCCACTCACCTCAGCCTCCCAAAGGTGCGGGATTACAGGCTGAGCCACCGAGCCCGGCAAGGTTGAGAGCTTTTTATATGCTCTCATCAAGAATATTGCCCTGTAATTTTTTCTTGTATTGTCTTTGTCTAGTTCTGGTATCAGGGTCGTTTTGACCTCATAAATAAGTTTTTAAAAATTTAGGAAGAATTGGAATTAATTATTCTTCAAAAGTTTGGTATAAGTCACCAGTGAAGCAATCTGGTACTGAAATTTACTTTGTAGAAAATATTTTGATTAATGATCTAATCTCCTCCCTAAGTATAAGTCTTTTCAATTTTTTGGTATCTTCAGGACTTAGTCTTTTTGGCTATATTTTTCTAGGTATGTATTCATTTCTTCTGAGTTATCAAATGTGTTGGTGTATAATGACTCATGATGTGTAATCTTTTATGTGCAAATTTACCAATAGTGCACTTACTGGCCTCAGTAAAATTTGCATGCAACCTGGAAAACTTTGATCACAGGTCAGGATATTAGAACACAGTCTCTCCACCAAATAAAAACAGAATCCTGTGTCATGTACACTTTTCAAATCAAAACATCTTGTACAAATACTTAAAAATCCCTTTGCAGGACGTATAGGATTTTATTTTCCTCTTGAGAGATTAATAAGAGATGAAACAGATTCTCGAAATTCAAAGGTATAATAAATCTCTGAGACTCCAGTCAACTATACTTTTTAAATTTATGACCAATTTTCATGCACATTAATTGATAAGCAAATTACATCAAGAAAAATTCAGAGCTCCATGGCCACTATTTAAACTCTCTAAGCTTGTTAGAAAATTCCAACTATAAAGTTAACATGTAGAACCTTTTCAGTTCTCTGTATATCACTCTTTTTCTTTTCCTGGTTTGAATCAACTAACTTTCTTGCTGGTACTAGAATGAACTCACTGTATATGGCACTCCAGACAAGATAAAAAGACCAAAAAAAAAAAAACAAAAACAAAAGAAAAGAAAGAAAGAAAGCCTTAAAGGGCTTTCAAATTAATGACGTCAGAAATCACAGCTGTTTCATGACAACCAAAAACTAGACCCCTAAAAATCATCCCACTTAGAAATATAAATTTAAGTTTGCCTGACTCAACAATTTCTTATGGGATGGAATAGTTAGTTGAAAGTTTAGTAATTTAAAAAGAAAGAAAAAGGCTAGATAAATGTTTACAAAAAAATTAGGTTCTCATATCACAAAGGTCAAAATCTTGAACTTTGAGTAATAATAAAAAAATTACAGTTTGGCATAAAAACTGTTCTTTCTACCATTCATGTCTTATTCATGGGACCAGAATAAGATGAAAACTGCAAGAAACTTTTCCTGGAGAGTTTCTATCTGCATTGACTAATCAAGCAAGTCAGACTGGCAAACAAACTACAGACTTGTTACTAAAATTCAAGGCTGCATGGAGATTTTGTTTATTTTATACAGTTCAGGCAATCCTAGCTAAAATGTAAACAGTTGAAGATTCAATCCCCAAACTTAATTAAAACTAAAAAAAGAGCACGCAAAAAGATGAAGAGGTTTCCTTTTTTAAAAAAAACAAAACTGCTATGAAGATATATCTTTTGGATCCAACTGGTGAGTTTACATTACTCTGATGTCTCAAATTTTGAGACAATTTTGAAGTGAAATCTAACAGATCTTTGTTTCTATGTATGTGTGTTTATGTACACTTATGTATATATACATGAATTATGTTGTACATTGAGTTTACATGGCAAAATCTGGCACAGTCAAATAAAATCCCTTAAGAAATTATCCTCAGAATTGTCTGTCATAAATGAGTCTCATATAAATTACATTTAAACTAGCTAAAACATAGCAGCTAACCCAAATGTGAAATCTTCACAGGACTTATAATTTTTTGGTAAATGGATGTTTTTAATTCTTGGTAATATAAAATAGAAATATCTTTATAATTGTCAGCATATGTTTTTGTCTGGAATTAATGGTCACAAAGGGTTATATTTACCTCTATTAGATGTTTTAAGGCCTCACAACAA